AATATATATATATATTTAGGTGCGCAAACGAAAACCTGTATAGTACCACGAACTCGTGTGCGATACTAATGGCAATCAAGCAATCACACTAATGGCAGTCAACGCTCCCTCCCCGATACCCCGTATCCCGTGTACGGACAACCCAGTGCGTGGTGGTGGGGGGGGGGTATCTCGTGTTTACGCTGTCAAGACAACGGTAGACTTAAATCGATAGGAAAAAGAATTCTCACGTCACGAAAGAATGCGGTTATGTCGCGCGCGGCAGCGGGAGCGCGTATAGCTGCGACATCGTTATAGCGGCCGCTGTAAGTATAGGCAGGATGCGCGCTTTTGCTAAGATGCAGCTACTGGTCTGCTTCCTCGGCGTTGTTCAGCTCATCGTATGGAAAACAACGGTCGCGTACGAGCAGGATGGCTACACTCTGCGGTATACAAGGATGCGGTTCCACAGGGCATGACGGTGCTGGCGACTGCAGGCGTACGAAGCACGCTGGAATGCGCGTGTCGTTGGAATAGCATGTCACGCTGCACGAGCTACAATATCGTCGCACCCGCACAGGACGGCGGCTCCATGACATGCGAGTTTCTTGATGAGACCGTGCCGCCTTTAAGTTCGGAAGCGAGCGTTGGAACCAGCAACTACACGAAAAATGGTTTGTACCCCTCATAATAGCTACCGTGAGCAAGTACGTGCGTGCGTGAGTTCGTACGTGCGTGTGTGCGTGCATATATGAGTGTGTGCGTGCATATATGAGTGTGTGTGCGTGCATATATGAGTGTGTGTGCGTGCATATATGAGTGTGTGTGCGTGCATATATGAGTGTGTGTGCGTGCATATATGAGTGTGTGTGCGTGCATATATGAGTGCGTGTGCGTGTGTGTGCGCGCGCGCGTGTGTGTGTGTGTGCGTGCGTGCGTGTGTGTGCGCGTACATAAGGAAGCGCGCACGTGCGTGCGTGCGTGCGTGCGTGCGTGCGTGCGAGCGTTCGTGAGTTAGTGCGCTCATGCGCGCGTATATGCATGCGTGTGTGCGTGCATTCGTGCGTGAATGATGCGACGAGATTAACAATTTTCGGTTACGCAGTTAATTTCATTATAGTTCTTTCATAAGGCGGGTAATATGCTGTGCGACATGCCTCCCTGCATTTCGTATTTTGTACAGTTGTTTCATTTAACTTTACAGTCATTCTGATTGACGTATGTTAAATTGCGATATATTAGTTGATTGTATTAGTATAGGCACATTTATGAAAAGCATTATATTTACCTTGATTTGCTAGCGATTGCTTTCTACCGCGTTACTTATCCGTGCGTCTTGCACGTTTGCGCAGTTTATCAATGTAACACGGGCTTCACGGAGTACATGAAGAAATGCTACTACTTCAACGCAACCGCCGTCGATTGGATTGCGGCAAGGCAGCGTTGTCTGGCAATTGATGCAGACCACTGATGCAGACTTACTGGCCGTCGACACGAACGGAGAGGAAAGCGTTGTTGATATGTTCACCGACTCTATCCTAGAAAATGAATCGATCTGGATCGGGGGCGTTGATGTAGCCACTGGACCTGAGAGAGAGTGGGTCTGGTTCTCTACTGGAGAGGGCATTACTTCGTTTAACTGGGCCCCGAACGAACCAAATAATGAGCATGGAGAAGAGTATTTTATGAGCATTCTTTGGAATGGCAGTAGTTACAGTTGGCATGATAACCCTTCAGGGTATTCGCGTGCATTTTTCTGCGAGACATCGAGGGTACGTGTTGCGTAAAGCCGGGTGTGGTAGCGGACCGCCAGTCATGTAACAGAGGCCACGTCGGTAATGAGCAAAAAGACGCACGGCGTTCCTGCGCCACACTTTCAGACAGCACTCATCCTGCCCTGCTTTTTTCCACACCAAGGGCCTGCCATATTTGATCATGGTGCTTTAAATCATGCATTTGAATTAGTTACATCCAAAAACTGTTGCCTGAATCCGTCGCCAGTGCAGCGCACGCCGTGGCCGATCGTTCAGCGAACTCGGCAACAAATATCAACATGTTTGATATTCCAGCGACGAGTTTCTTGGCTTCAAAATCGCCATCGCCCATGCAACGCCACACAGTGGCGATCTTTGGCGATTCTCTCGCCGGCAACAAAATCGCCAGTACTAGCGATAAAAATCGCCACGTGTGCGCCGGGCTTAACGATTCATTTTAGTCGCAATACGATGCGCATCTCGATACACAGACAGAAAGAGAGACATTGTAAAGTGCATGCTGTGATAAATTTGCCATATCATGTACGAATTGATAATGCTTTTATTATTATTATTATAATTTTTATTTGTAAATTTATAATTAACGGGTATATTATGCTAGTGAGCGCATAAAAATAAAAAATAAAAATAAAAAATAAATAAAGGCTAACTACCTGGCTTTACCCAAGCTAGGTCACACCCCATGGCTAGCTATAGCCCTGGACGTTTATTCCTTACGGACTGTCCAGTATAGAAGTAGAAGTAGAAGAAGTAAATAATAGTATATGCCTACAAATTTCTATATCACGCATTTCACAGTTGTCGTAAAACAACTGAGTTTCGAAATCTGTATTTTGATCAGTTTGTAATTTGAAATTCACATACACGGCGCGCCATCCACAGTGCGACAGTACGTGTGCAATAACGACACGCACCAGTCAATCAGCACTCTTGATTGTTTTGCGGTAACAATTTTGGCGGCAATACAAGCGCGCCCCATATATTGACACCGATTTCTACGACAGCCGAGGACATTTACGCGATACTGAGAGGGATTTCATTAAAACAATAGTGAGAAATTCAACTTAAAATGAATTACATGCGCTTTAGCTTGCCTTATATGGTTTAGCTTAGTTTAGCAAAGTTGAGCTTGCCATATTCACTGTTAAACATGCGTATCGTTTGTATCGCGACACGGACGCTGCGTATCAATGATCGTATGGCGGGCCGCTGTATCGCGACACGGACGCTGTCCTCCCGTGTACCAACGGATGCGTATGGGGCGCGGCCGCTGTATGCCGACACGTGCGCTGGTATCAAACTGGATCGGTATGGCGGGCCGCGTTTGCATTCCGCGCAACGGACGCTGTGTATCAGAATTGAAGATCCGGTGAATTGGCGGGCCGCTGTATACGCGACACGGAGCGCCGCGTTGATCGAATGATTCGTATGGCGCGCGCGCGCTGTATCGCGACACGGACGCTGTGTATCAATGATCGTATGCGCGGCGCTGTAATCAACGCACAACGTAACGTGCCGTATCAATGATCGTTATGGCGGCCGCGTCTTATCACGACACGGACGCCTGCGTATCAATGCATCGTTATGGCGGGGCGGCCTGTAATCCACGACACGGACGCTGCGTATCAATGATCCGTATGGCGGGCCGCTGTATCCACCGATTGGCCGATATATCAGTGAATTCGTTACATTCCTAATATATACTACTCTGCAAACGAAAAACCAACTATATAACCTTATAAAGATAAGTTAATGCGTTGTTGTAGGGCCTATTCTATAATATTCGTCTATGCGGATTATGAACGAACGCGATTTCGTAGATGAAATCAACGTATGGCGTTTGTTTATATGCTGTTACGATCGAGCTTTTCAAGTTGCATCTCGCATTCGCGAAACTTAACGTGTAATATTACGAATCGTCACTTAAAGGTACGAGATGAAATTACGACTTTCGCGTGTCGCGCCTTGTCATGTAAAAAACGTTTGTCGTTTATTCTAGTCGTCCAACAAACAGACACGAGTAACGAACTCTACTCTTTAATGTGACCTAAAATAGGCCATGTCGCGCATTCATAATGCGACATCTGACCCGGCGCCTGCTCCCCACATTGGTGTACAGACACGTTCAAAGCGGGCTAACTGGTATGCTCAAGTTTAGTCCACGCTTCGAAGCCGGGCCTGGCCGCTCCTTTATTTGCGGGGCCAACTTGGAGGCGGGCCAGCGCGTATTTGGAGCTGGATAGCGTGTACACACTGCAAATATTTGCCGCCGCCTGGCGCGCATCAGTTTGATATCATATCAAATTTTTAGTCTGTACGGGGATAATATGTGTAGCAGTGCTCTACGCAGTTATTGCAAACTACTGCAGTAGAGATTTGTTTACAACGGCGATCGATATTCTCCTTCGAACCTCATCGCTGCGAGCACATTTTTAATGTAATTTGAAAATATTGTCGCGGGTCCCAAAGGAAGGTTAATTGTTTCGTTTGTGAACCTATTAAATAAACAGATAAGTTTATTCATATTTGATTACTGCCCAGTAGCAATCCGACCATCACAGACACATTGAATTACAACCATAGAAACTTGATCGCGCTATCAATAAATCATACGATAGCTAAATTGTAGTGTCGATATACGAGCAAAGCTCTTGATGTGTTCTAATTCTCTGACGAAATTATTACTCGTAAATTCGAATCAAACACTCCGGCAGCTAACCACGGCACGTGCCCGGCACGGCACTGAGAAGCGTTGAATCTTACGGCGGCCGCCGTGCCACCCGTGCATATCCTCAAGGCACGGCACAACACACACAACCACATGGTCTCGCACGACAACCACACAGCTGCACACCACCAGCACGCCGTCTGATTCTTCTCTCTCCCAACACACACGCCACGGCACCACTGCTCACATCTCCTCGTCCACCAACCACATACCGACACAGTCGCCGCGGCAGCGCGTACGCAGCTGCAGCGCGAGCCGTACGCAGACGCACCGCACCTACCCACGTCCACACAACAACAACACACACACACACACACAGCACGACCACACCCTACCACGTCCCGCCGCGCGGAGATTGCCAGCGCGCACACACACACCACGTAACTTATGGAGTGTATATACTGTACTATATATATTACTATAGTAGTACTATATCATATATATATAGTATAAGTACTATTATAATATATATTACATGTGTGTGTGTGTCGTGCTTACTGTATGTGTGTGTGTGTGTGTGCTGTGTGTGTGTCAATGTGTGGTTGTGTGTGTGTCGTGTCGTGTGTGTGTGTGGCAATCGTGTAAGTCAGAAAAGTCTTCAGGTTGAGCACGGTATTAAGTTGTTATAGGTAAAAAAAACCGACATTTAGTTTTGAGCCACGCGCTCTCTATCTTTATAGAATTTTTCAGGCAAATACATATACCATGTATAATAGTATATATACTATATACTAATATATATACTAGCTACTATATATATATATATATAATTAATGTTTTGTGTGTGTGATATATAGTGTGTATATATATACTATAGTATAATATATATCAATATATATTATACTTAATGTCGTGTGTGTATATGTATATATAGGATAAGCGCTAGCTGAGTTACAGTAAGATGTATTTGTAAATGTTCTTTTGTACTTGTGTGAGTTGTTGGTTGTGAAATGTCGTATGTCTGTGCTTCACTCATCCGTGAGATACCTAGCCTATGTTTGGCTCTATTTACATTGTCACTGACGGAAAGCATGTTCAGTCGTGAATACGGCTTCTCCCGCAATTCCCAGTGCGCATGCTGGGAGTCCGGCTACGAGTCAGTTGATGGGATTGGTGATGCAGGGCAGTCGTTGTAGTTAGAGCAAAGCTGCCGGTGTGAGACATGCTGATTATAGTGCGTGCTTTACCGCATCGCTGGTAGCAGGCAAGAGCCGTAGAGTTCATAGTGCGCTTTGTAACCTGTTTTTCCGGCGAGCGAACTGTTTATCCGGTGCTGTAATTGTTGGGGAGAGTAAATATAATGTGTTATTTAATTTTAATATATAAAAATAACACAAAGAATAACATTAACTCTGCACATGTAGAACATAATTACATGTGTACGCTAGCACAGTGCTTAGCCTTTAGCGTTACTCTAAAATAACGTGGTTGCATTTATTATAAATTGTATCGTAAGGCCCGTGAGTAGAGGCAGGGCGTGGCGCCGATATCATTGTGTTGTGATGTACGTCTGTTGTCCGTTGTCTGGCATTGTTGTCTAATCACTGTCTCTGTACCGGAATTGGAGCGTTCGCTGCGCTGCACGACGAGCGAGTATATATAGCATATTATTGCTCGGGTGCTCGTGGAGTCCGGGTGTCGCAGCTGGCCAGGGCTAGCTGAGAAACGTCGTCGCGCGTTCGGACGTACCAGGTAGGTAGGTATTCACCTGCTCACCCACCTTCTTACCCAACGCATACATAAACGCTGCAATTGGTTCCGTAGACCTGCCGGTTTCGCGCGTTTGGTCTACTGGACAGACGTGTATGTACGCCTATATATGTGGCGTGTGTTGCCGCTCTTCCGCGGTTATTTTCCAACAATGCGATTTCACCTTGCATGAGTTCTTGGTAGCGGTGCAGTTGCGGCTAGACTGGTTTTCAGCCATTGGCAGATGACAGTTTCTTGCCAGTAGCTTGTGTCATTGAGCGCGCGCGCGCGCGCGTGTGTGTGTGCGTGCGTGCGTGCGTGCGTGATATCAGTGAATCGTTACATTCCTAATATATACTACTCTGCAAACGAAAAACCAACTATATAACCTTATAAAGATAAGTTATGCGTGTTGTAGGCCTAGTTCTATAATATTTCGTCATGCGGATTATGAACGAACCCGATTTCGTAGATGAAATCAACGTATGGCGTTTGTTTATATGCTGTTACGATGAGCTTTTCAGTTGATCTCGCATTCGAAATTAACGTGTAATATTATAGAATCGTCACTTAAAGGTAC